ATTTTTAAAATATTTTTAATTTTTTTTGTGTGTATGAGTGTCTTGTCTGTACGTATGTAAGTACACTTGTGTCGTGCAATGCCTGTGAAGGCCAGAAGTGGGTGTCAGATCCCCTGGAACTGGCATTATGGACCATTGTTAACAGCCATGTAGATTTTGGGAGCCAAATCTGGGTCCCCTGAAAGAGCAGCCAGTGTTCTTAACCACTGGAGATGGTTCTCTCTCCAGCCCCATTTTTATTTTTGGTTTTTGGATATGGTCTTATATAATCTACACTGGCCTTGAACTCACTGTATGGCTGAGGCTAACTCTGAATTCTTGATCCTCCTGCTTCTACCTCCTGATTCCTGGGATTATAGTGTTATGCCACCATGCCCTACAAAAATAGTATCTTGATGTTTACTCCTAACTTGTTCTGTTCCAGTTCTGATTCTGGTTTCCTTGGATTATTTTTAGAAGACCATTCTCTTGTGATATAAAATACAGACTTGCTGCTTGCATTTGTGGATGAGTACTCTGTTGGTTTGCTTGCTTGTTTGCTTGCTTTGTTTTTATAGATTTTCTGATTGATACCTTTTATATTATAGGAAGAAAAATAAATGGAAGACTGGTCTTCTGTACAGTTAGCCTGTCCTGAGAAACAGCAAGTTCCTTTGGGATCAGGTGATGATCCTTAGTTGTGTTTATGGAACCAAATATTTGATAAATTTTGATAGAGTAGAATATAAAATATGAAACCACAGTCACAGGCTCATTCATGAATAATTTGGTTTTATGCCATAGTCCCAGCAATTCTTCTCATGGTAAAGACTTGGGTACTCTTTAGCTATGGTCTGAAGAGCTCAAATTCATGGTCACGTTTCAGAGCAGCCACTTTAACACTGACAAAAAATACTGTAATCTTTTTAATTTTGAGAGACCGATTTACTTCTTTGTGTAAAATTGCTCAAAATACCCCCCTCTTCCCTTATTTCACATGCTGTCAAGGGAAATTATAACCTAACATGTTGGAGGATCCAAAAGTCTTTGACAAGGCAGATTTCATTATACGTAGTGTCACAGTTGGCTATCTCTCTTGGTGTGAAAGGTTGCCAAAGACAGACTTTGTACCATAATTTAAAAACAGAATAAAATACATCAGTTGATACACTAATTGGGCTTTTTTTTTTTTTTCCCCCGGTCTTTTTGAGAGGAGTCTCCCTGTATCCTCAGCTGGCCTGGAACTCCCTGTGTAGAACCCACAGAGATCTACCTGCCTCTCCCTCCTGAGTACTAGGATTAAAGGCCTGTGCCACCACGCCCAGCATTAGTAATTGGACTTTTAAAGGCTCCCAAGATTAATTATTTTTGTATATTCTCAAATCCTAGAAAGTCATCATCAAAGACTTTTTGAAATGGCTTAGCTTCATGGCTAAATGCTCCCACAGACCACGATTCAAATCCTGACAGTCACTTACTAGTTAGGTCCTATTGGAATAGTATTTAATGTCTCTAATCTTGAGTTACCTTTACTCTAGAATGTAAGTAAAATTGTAGGACCTACCTCACAGGATAGTTGTAAGATTGAGAGTATATATCACAATTAGCAGTGTCTGGCTATTTTGTTTTTTTAATCAAACTTTGCGTTTGTTGTCCCTTTCTACCTCTTAGTCCCCCCAAAAATATATCTAAAAATATGAGCTTAAACCCTCTTTTAGAAATGTATAGGCCAGGAATCATGTTTCCTATTAAATAGGTGTTATTCTATATATGAAAGGAGAAATAAGAAAAATAGAAGTGGAAGAAAATTTGAGAGTATATATAATCAAAATAAAAGCTTACTGTGAATAAGGGAAGGAAAGACCATAAGGCTTTTCTCAGTTGGAGCTTTTATTTGGTTGGGGAAGGAGAGTTAAAGAACTAGAAAAGTGTTGAGTCAAAACAAGAGAGAGTAAATACTTCTGGAGCTAGAGCAGATGGCGGTGGTCAGACCTATGTAAATGGAATTGAGACTAAACCTGGAAAGAAAGAGAAGAGAAAGGAACAGGGACAGTGCTGCTGCCTAACGTTTGTCACTAGAGGCAGCAATGATCATCTTTGTAGAGTGATCTGACACAACCTGACTAATGAGCAAGGGGACAGTTTGAGTTCAGAGCATAGAATACGAGGGGTCTAAGAGAACAGCTCAAACAGCAACAATTAAGGCTTTAATTCTCAAGGAAGAAAAAGATGCACCAGTCTGTACCTATTCCAACTTTCCTAATCCAGAGGAGGGGCTCACCACCCCCTGACCAGGCCAGTTTCCACCACGACTTTGCCTCCACCCCCTCCACATTCTCAGAGACTTTCTTTTCTTGATTACTAGTCTCTCTGATGTGTGCTCCTGTCTTTGATCTTAAAAATGCTTAGGTTTTTTTCCATCAGAAAACTGAAGAAGTCCAAACTCGTCACTCTACCTTTTTCCCTCATCACTACTCTTCCCTTAATGGACAGGCTTTTTCTTCCACACACGTTTACTTCCACTTGCACCATTTCCACACGTCCCACGCCCCTATTCCATCCACTCTGCTGGGCTCTTGACACCATCATACCACCAAAGCGTTCCTCACAAAACTGTTACTGAGCCTCACATTACCAAATGCATTTTTCATCTTGGCAAGCTCCTTCCTAGATGGCGTTTCACACCATTGACCATGCCCTCTGTCTGAGCACACTCCTAAGTTTTGTTATTCCTGTGAATAGCACCATTTCTCTATTTCTTTGATGCATCTTTTATGGGATTTGTTCTAGTTCTTTTTCCAGGTGCTATGATAAAATACTCTGGCCAATACAACTCAAGAGAAAGAGGGTGTATTTTATCTCACAGTTCAGGGAACAGTCTATCATGTCAGGGAATTCAAGGCAGCAGAAGCTTGAAGCATCTGGCTACATTATGTTTGTAGCCTGAAGAAGGAAGCAACATGTTGTGCTCAGTTCATGTTGTCTACTTTTACATAATCCAGGATCCCTTGCTTAGGGAATGGTGCCACCCACAGTGGTCTTCCAATCTCCATGTAATCAAGGCAATCCCCCACAGGCATACCCAGAGGCCCATCTCCCAAATGAGTCTAGATTTTGTTGACAATTAACACTAACCATCGCAGGATTCCTTAATGTGAGATCTTCAGTTTTTCTGCCACTTAGTTATTATCTACATGAAAGATGTTCATCAAATTTATACTCTCAAGACCTCTAGGCTGCAGATTCCATTTCCTTCTCTTGAATGTTCTGGAAGCACTACGAACTCAAGCACATCTAGTAAGGAACTCAGTATCTTCAATGCCAGTCATTTTTCAGTGTTTTCACTTACAGCAAGTAGCATCTGTTTGTGCAGGTTAGAAGTCTTGAGTCATCCTGGACTCCTCTCTTTCCTTCCCCACCCTTACCCAGTCCATCAGACCTGTCCATTTTACTTCCTACAGAACTTGTACATCAATACATTTTTCCTTCTTTACCTCCAAGTTGCTCATGCTGTCTACTATTATCGGTTCCTTGATTGATCCTCATGCACATTGGCTCCTTTCCAGTTCTCTTGTTCTTTATCCAGTGGGTTCCAGTTCCAGGGTATCCAACACCCTCTTCTGTCTTTTGTGGGCACTGCATGACATGGGTGCACTTTTATACATGCAGGCATAACACTTATGCACATAAAATAAAAATAAATAAATCAAAAATGATTTAAAAAAAATAAAATAGTATAAGAGTTGCATCTGCAGTGGGGTAGGAGATAATTGTAAGGAACCCTAAAGCCTCTAGTTCCATCTTTCAGGGCCTCTACCAATGCAGTCACGCTGCAAAACTGTGGCTAAAATGTTTCCCTTGCTCCACTTTTAGGCTTTACAGTTATCATTAATTTAGCACCAGTGTTGTGAGTGGTATGTCGGAAACATAGATTGACATGTTTGCGCCTTTCTACAGTGTCAGAGTTTATTGAATAACAGTAAATCTACAAGCTATGTCAGCTTAGTTGTCTGCAATTTCCCAAGTACTTCCAATTTCTCCAGATAGCAGGCCGCTGGCAAACACAGGTTTTTGTTTTTTTTTTTTATTCTATTCTTAACTATTAATATTGACTCTGAGATCACACATTAGGCATCATACAGTAAACATATCTATCTGTCTGTCTGTGTGTCTGTGTGTGTGTGGGGGGGGTTACAGAATAGCTAAAAGAGTCAAAGAGGCCTCAGCAAAGTTTAGGGGATCCAGCAAGGCCTTACTGGAGGTAGAAGACTGATAGCCATGCAAAGAGTTTCTATAGGGAGGGGTTGAGTTAATGGCCCTGTTCCACAGCTGGTGCTGAAGGCTCAAGAGCCAAGCTGCAGAGTCATGCCACAGCTGAGTGTCAGGTTGAACTACTAAAGTGAGGTGCAGGACCATGGAGGCCTCAGAAGTAAAATGCAAGACTGGATTCAGATGGACAAATAAGTGGAGAGGATATAATGATTAGGAGTTCCCCAATGAGGTTAATTGATAGGGGTAGTGCTAGGTTGGCTAAGCTTCCTAGTATTCATCATACACCCGTAAGTGGGAGGATTGTGCGTAATCCTTGGGCTAGGATTATGTTGGGGAATCCTGCTGTGAGGGTCGCAGTCTTCCATGTCCGGATAGCTCTAAGGAGCTCGGCGCCTGATGGGAAGACTCCTCTTTTCAGCAGGGGGCCTCCTACCTCTCTTCCTGACTCACCTTTTGAAGTGGCCACCACAGATGCCCTACCAAAAACATGGCCTCTGGCATAGGAGCTGCCAGGTTTTCCTGTGTGATAATCAGGCACTGTCTGGCAGCCTGGTGGAAGCCCACCACCACATGTAAATGGGGCATCCTACAAAGCACCTATCAACTAAGGCTTTTGCGGAGCTGAATCACTAAGACCTGGAGCCGAGCTGAGTCACTGAATAAAGGAGCTGTACTGAGCTGAGTTCTGTGTCTTACTGCCTACAATCCAGTCTTCCTGGAGAGAGCTGTCTCTTCGTAAACCACGACTCATGGAGACCCTGCTTTCACCGTCTCCGCACTTCCCACGAGATCCACCGGCCGGCGGATCTCGTACCTCGAGGGAGTGCTCAGTGGAAATTGGGATGGAACCCGCCCGGGCGGCTGACAGCGGCCCTCCAGAACCGCCAGCTCCAGTAGCAGAGAGCCTCAGCAACGTGGCCGCGGGAGACCGGCGCCACGCCAAGCAGCTGGCGCCCCAGATCCCCGCGACCCCATAGATTATATTACGGCTGTGGGTTTGTTCATAGTTGTAATTGGCTAGGGAGGAGGTTAGTAGATGGGTTCCGGGTAAAGCAGGCCCCATCAGCACGGGCATGAAACTGAGCTGAAGCCCCTGGAAGTTGGAAATTAGCCTGTCTGTACCTTAAGTCACACAGTAGGTGGTCAGATGACACACAGTAGGTGGTTGGATGACAGTCCACTGGGCCATCTCCATCACAGTTTTAGGTGTCCTCTAATTTGTGGGGTCCAGGTGAAGATGTACCTTCTTTGGTCTGGTGCATTCAGTAAGTTTTCCAGGTATGATTTTTAATTATGTCCATGTGTTCATATGGTTCCAATAGACTTTTTGCTTTTGGGAATAAGTTATTTATTGCTCTGTGTCTCGTCGATAGTACTGGGCAGGTGATGGTATCTACTTGTAGAAGGTACAGAGTTGGCCTGCTTCTGCATTTGCATTCAAGATGCAGCCAAATGCTGCTTGTGAACTGTAGATTCCTAGGGCAAGGCACAGCCTGAAAGTCACGGTTTCATAGCATGGAGTAACTGAGCAGGGTGCAGCCTGATCACCACGGTCATGCCTGTATTTGTTAGGCCTGTTGACTGTTCCTTTCCTGAAATCCTCTCTCACACTGCCTTCTCTAGCATTTTAGTTTGTTTTGTTTTGTTTTTTCTTAGCTGCTCTTCCTGTTCATTTGCTCCAGATTATTCGTACTAAAGTTTGATTTTGATCTGCTGTGTACAACTCTGATGGTTTCAGTGTCTGAAGAAAAAATCTTGACCTCCTGGCAGTTCCTGGGGAACTATAGTTCGTGTCTCCTGCTTTGTTGCTTTTGTCTAAACCCAAAGTCACCCTATTCTTACCTCCCATCCCCATCTCCTTATCAGTGAACCCTTCCATCTATGCACTGGGGAGTCCAAGTCACAGCCTCCCCAGGCACAGCACCCCCTTCCCCACAGCACTGACTTCCTAGAGGAAGAATACCTGACAAACTGCACAACTAAAATAATACTGGGATGACTGAAGACAGTTCTTTTGTCTTTTCATGATGTAGCTATACAAACCTGAATGCCACATAGCACTTGTGATAAGCTGGACAATAACTAGGGAGTCATTTCCTCTTGAGACCTGGCCTGTTGAGAGTTGAAAAGTAAAATGTCTAAACACGTATGACAAAAACAACGTGCTCTGCATTCAAACATGTCTATCTAGTTGTTGCTTTGTCACTCCTCTAAGATGGAGCTTGGTCCTAACAGGGGAGTAAAACTTTGGCCTGTGCTTCAAAGTGATTCTTGGGCCCTGCACACTGAACTACTTTGTTCCTTGGAATGATTTTTTCCTTCTAGATTTGAAAAAGCTTATTTTATACCAGTCAGAATGTTATGTATTGTACCTTTTTTATGAGCTCTTGTGAAGACCAGACTTCGAGGCAGAGTTAGAAAGCACTAGAGCAAAGGCTGTTTTATGCATTTCCAGCTGCAGAAAGTAGTAAGACTTCAAGTGGGAGTGCGGTATTCTGTTCTTGAATTTCTTCCCAGAGGGACGATAGGACAATGCCCTTTTAGTTTTCAAGAGGGCTAAATATTCTCTCCCAGCACAAATGCCATGTTTGATTTCATTCTGCTTTTGCTCAGTAAAATGTTCTCCTTGATGTTATAAGAATTATTGATGCTTCTGTTGATGACATAATTTCCTATAAGACCTTCAGGAAGATTGGAAATCATTATGTGATTTCACTGGACTTGCCAGATGAGGAGGATTAAGGACTGAACTGTCTGCTTGCCTTTGGTGGATTCTAAATTATACAACTGAGTGTTATATTGGAAACAAGAAAGGACAGAACTGAGCAACTGCTTCCCTGGAGGGGCATAAATAATAAATAAATAAATAATAAATAAACAAACAAACAAACAGTATGGTCCCCAGGGACTGGCATTGGGAATATGTTTCCAAACTAGTCTGAATATAAATTGGAAAAGGAAGTAAAGAAAGATTTCTTACTGAGAAATAAGAAAATAGAATTGATTGGCACAAGATGAAGCAGAGTTCTAAAACACGGTGTGAGTGGGCAGAGAGGAGCAGATGCCACCTTATTTTCAATGATTTCAGCTTTGAGTAGTTCCTCCTTTCTGTACCTGATGAAATGCTGTGATTGTTCTTTTGAAGGGTCTATTCAGCAGGGTTAATTTCTTATCCTTCTAAGTCATTTGGTTTTAAAATGTATATTTCCTCTTGCATGTGCATACATAATATATATTCGTGCATGCATTATTCATGTGTTTAAAATCTTCACAGTTTTTACTTTATAATCTCATTGCTTTGATTTGATTCTTTTTTCTTATTCTCCTCACTTTTTTCCTGATACTTTTCTTATTTTTAGACAAGTCATCCTATAGAAATAATTTGGATAGATGTATTGTAAAATATTGACAGCATTATTTAAATATTTTTATATAGCTTCTGTATCATCTATAAAATGAAATTTCTACTTAGGAGCATTCCTGTTAAGACTCAGGAGAAGCTTAGCACCTAAGCAAGGAGAGTTAAAGATCTCTCCACTATAACCCATGTTTTCTAAGAAGTAGGAAGTATTAGTCTGTCTTTTACTACCTGTGGGACATGGGGCTTTTTTTGTTTTTTCTTTTTTTATCTTTTTGGGACATGGGGCTTTTAAATGGCATTAGTATGCCTTGTATTTATAGCCCTACCCTACGAGTATGTGTTCTTAGCACTGAAATGTCAGCATAAACTTTGACAATTAAGACTTTATATCATCTCTTAAAACGTCCTTCATGGTGCACGCCTTTTATCCTAGCACTTGGGAGACAGAGGCAGATGGATCTCTGTGAGTTCGAGGCCAGCCTGGTCTCCATTAGCGAATCCTGGTCAGTGGCTACAGGGAGACCTTGTCTCAAAAAGACCAAAAAAAAAAAAAAGCCTTCAGATATTGTCTACACATTGAGTTCCAGGCTGGCTTATATTCACGTACAAGCTCTTTCACACATTCACAATAAGATTAAAAGAAAAATCTATATATTCATGATTCAGCTCAGGAAGTAAAGCATGAATTTTCACAAGGTCTCTGAGGATAAAAATTATTTGGATTTCATAAATATCTTTAAATTACATGTGTTCTGTGGGCTTCTTGATTAGGTGTCTATGATAATAACTTTGATCTGGACCAATTAAATAGTCATATGAACAAAAAGCGAGGATTTTCTGTTAAAAAATTAATTTGTTGCTTGTTTTCCTATTACAGAAATTAACCTATTTTGGTCCTGTGGTTGCTCACCTCTTTTAATTTATCCCCTTGAGTATTTCCTGATATTTTTCTTGTCTGATTTAGAGTTTCTGTCCTATTATTGTTTACAGCAAGCACCAAATTTAGCAGGGTGCCATTTGCAAGATAAATTGGCCTCGAGAACTAAGACTAAGATAGCAGATTGTTTAAAGTACTCATTTTTCCATGGAGCACCAACATTTCACTTGCAGAGATGAGTTATCCAAATCTGAACAAAAGATGAAACTTTTAAAAAGGATTATTCAAATTCTAGATGTGTAGGGAAGTTGCAGGTTCAGCTCTTTCATTTAGATCCCCCAAGTGCTAGCTTAAATCAGGCAAGCATCAGGTAATGGATCCAGGAAATACTGTAACAGCTGATGCACAGCTTGATGATCGTGTACTCAGCCAGTAAACAGACGCATCTGAAAACCTGAGGTCTGCTAGGTGCTTGGGTCACGGAGACAATACACACTGTCCTTCCTCAGTCTGATGGGGGAGAAACGTAAAAATAGACACGAAGGCAGTGAAGGAGCAGAATAACAAATAGTCACAGAAATGGGGGAGGAGAGGATCCTGGGAGTTTATTCCTGAGTTTGTTACAGGCTTGAACTACTGTGTGCTTAATGGGAATTCCACGTTTACAGAACAGTCCAGATTACAGAGCTAATACAAAGGATTTTTGTGTGAAATCTTCTTTCAAGTTATAATTTTTTATTTACGCTGAAAATTGAAGGCCAGGTGTGGTGGCCCACGCCTCCAGAGGCAGAGGCAAGCAAATCTCTCTTGAGTTCAAGAAAAAAGAAAAGAAAATTGAAAGTTTTAAATGCTTAGAGGGATCAAAGATTTCCACTTAGAGCATCCAGGACTCATCATTTACCTGGAGAAAGAAGCGTTGGGTGGATTAGAAGCAGCTGGGATGACTGTGTGTACCTCTGCCTTCTGTTAAATTGGGAGTCCAGTCTCTAGAAGGAGATAGCTAGAAAAGATATTTGGACCAGACACCAGAAGATGGTGATAATTTTAGTTTATCATCAGTAACTCAACTAGTTGAGTCAGGTGTGGTGGTGCATGCCTTTAGTCCCAGCACTCAGGAAGCAGAGGCAGGTAGAAGATCTCTGAGTTCAAGGCCAGCTTGGTCTATACAGGAAGTTCTAGTCCAACCAGGGCTACATAATGAAACACATGCGCGCGCACACACACGCACGCATACACCCTCATCCTCAGGTAGTTGATTGCTAAAAAAAATAGTTCACATTTTCCTACTGGGTATATAGTGCTTTCAGTACATTTGATTTTCTCATGAAATCAGGCAAATCACAAAATTATCTTTCCCTACCAATGGGGGAAGAAATTGTTAAAACTGAAGCAAAGTTCGAAAGACTTTAAATTCATCACCTTGAGATATTTTGTAATTGACCATGATTACTCTTAGGGCACATAGAACTCTTCAGAAAATTATCAAGTCAGTGAAGATGGATACCTCTTTTAAGAACCCCCACATGAAGCTGGCCCTCATGGCACAGGCCTGTAATACCAATGACTCCAGAGGCTGAAGCACGAGCATCACACATTCAAGGTTTGCCTCAGCTGCAGAGTGAGTTCAAGCCCAGCTTGGACAACTTAGTGAAACC